ACACCCATGTTCACTGCAGCACTGTTCATGATAGCAAAAAGATGGAAACAACCTAGGTGCCCATCAACAGATGAATGGATAAACAAATTATGGTATATTCACACAAGGAACACTATGCAACAATAAAGAACAACTATGAATCTGCGAAATATCTCATAACGGGCATGAATCTGGAAGGCATTATGCTGAGTGAAATTAGTCAATCGCGAAAGGACAAATATTACATGAGACCACTATTATAAGAACTTAAGAAAAGGTTTAAACACAGAAGAAAGCATTCTTTGATGGTTATGAGGCTGGGGAGGGAGGGCGAGGGGAACTCACTAACTGGATAGTAGACAAGAGTTATCTTAGGTGAAGGGAAGGACAACACACTATACAGGAGAAGTCAGCACCAATGGGCTAAACCAAAAGCTAAGAAGTTTCCTGAACACAACCAAACACTTCGAGGGACAGAGTAGCAGGGGCTGGGGCCTGGGAACCATGGTTTCAGGGGACATCTAGGACAATTGGCATAACAAAGTTCACTGAGAAAATGTTCTGCATCCCACTTTGGTGAGTGGCATCTGGGGTCTTAAAAGCTTGCAAGTGGCCATCTAAGATGCATCAGTTGGTCCCAATCCACCTGGAGCTAAGAAGAATGAAGAACACCAAAGGCACAAGGGAAATATTAGCCTGAGAGACAAAAGGGACCACATAACCAGAGACCCCATCAGCCTGAGACCAGAAGAACTAGACTGTACCCAGCTACCACAAATGACCACCCTGACAGGAAACACAACAGAGAGTCCCCGAGGGCACAGGAGAAACATGGGGCACAGAACTCAAATTCTAGTAAAAAGACCACACTAATGGTCTGACTGAGACTGGAGGAACCCCAGAAGACTTGGTCCCTGGACTGTTTGTTAACCTAGAACTAAAACCATTCCCAAAGCCAACACTTCAGACAAAGAATAGACTGGACTATAAGACATAAAATGATACTTGTGAAGAGGGTGCTTCTTAATTCAAGCCGATACGCAAAACTAAACAGGCAGCTCCTGTCCAGAGGCAAGATGAGAAGGCAGAAAGGGATAGGAGTTGGCTGAATGGACACTGGAAATCCAGGGTGGAAAGGAGGAGTGTGCTGTCACATTATAGGGATAGCAACTAGGGTCACATAACGATGTGTGTATAAATGTTTGTATGAGAAACTAACTTGAACTGTAAACTTTCCCCTAAAGCACAATAAAATAATAAAATAAAATAAAGCATTATACACCATGGCCGAGGGGGATTTACCCTAGGAATGCAAGAATGGTTCTACGTAAGAAAATCAACCAACGTAATGCACCACACTAATAAAACGAAGAAGAAGAACCACATGATTATCTTAGTTGATGCAGAAAACGAATTTGACAAAATCCAATACCCCTTTCTGATAAAAACACTCAATAAATTAGGAGTAGAGGGAAATTCCTCAACAAGATTAAGAGCATTTATGAAAAACCTACAGCTAACATCGCACTCAATGGTAAAAATCTGAAAACTTGCCATCTAGGCCAGGAAAAGACAAGGATGCCTGCTTTCACCATTGCTACTCAACATTGTACTGGAAGTTCTGGTCAGATAAATTAGGCAAGAAAAAGAAAAATCCAAACTGGAAAGAAATCTCTTCGCAGATGACATGATCTTATGGAAAGATAATCCCAAAGAAACCACAAGAAATGTACTACAGCTAATAAATGAAATCAGAAACGTTGTAGGGTATGGAACAACACATTAAAATCAGTTGTGTTTCAACGAACTATCTGAAAAGGAAATTAACAAAACAATTCAATTTAAGATAGCACCTAAAAGAATAAAATACTTAGAAATAAATTTAACCAAGGAGGTAAAAGACTTGTTTACTGAAAACTAGAAAAGGTGACTGAAAGAAATTAAAGACCTAAATAAACAGACATTTGTGTTTATGGATTGGAAGTATTAATATTGTTAAGATGTCAATACTACCTAAAGTGGTCTATAGATTAACACAATCCCTATAAAAATTCCAGCAGTTTTTTTTTTTTTTTTTTTTTTGCAGTAACGGAAAAGCCAATCCTCAAATTCATATGGAATTACAAGGGGACAAAACAATAGCCAAAACAATCTTGAAAAAGAAGGACAAAGTAGGAGGACTCACACTTCCCAATTTAAAAACCTACTATAAAGCTACAGTAATCAAAGCAATCTGTTACTGGCATAAGGATAGACATATAGACCAATGGAATACAATTGAGAGTCCAGAAATAAAACCATACGTCTATGGACAATTGATTTTCAACAAGCATGCCAAGCCCATCCAATGGAAAAGGGATAGTCTCTTCAATAAACGGTGCTGGGACAACTGTATCTCCACATGCAAAAGAATGAAGTTGGTCCCATAACTCACACCATATATCAAAATTAACTCAAAATGAATCAATGACTTAAATATAAGAACTAGAACCATTAAACTTTTAGAATAAAACATAGGGGTAAAGCTTTGAGACCTAGTTTTCAACAACGAATTTTTAAATATGACACCAAAAGCATGAGCAACAAAAGACAAAATAGAGAAATTGAACTTTATCAAAATTAAAAACTTTTGTTCATCAAAGGACTTTATCAAGAAAGTGAAAAGACAACCTAGAGAATGGGAGAAAATACTTGGGAACTATTAATATAAAGGATATATAAAGAACTCCTACAATTCAACAACAAAAAGACAAAGAATCCAATTGAAAAAAATGGACAAAGGACTTGATTAGACATTTCTTCAAAGAAGATATACGAATGGCCAATAAGCACATGAAAAGATGCTCAATGTCATTAATCACTGAGGAAATGCAAATCAAAATCACAAGATACCACTTCACACCCACTAGGATGGCTATTATCCGAAAAAAGGAAAATAACAAGTGATGGCAAGGATGTGGAGACTTGGAGTTCATCCATTTCTGATGGGAATGTAAAACAGTGCAGCCATTGTAGAAAACAGTTTGGTAGTTCCTCAGAAATTTAGACATAGAATTACCTTATGACCCAGCAACTACACTCCTACATAAATGCCCAAATGACTTGAAAGCAGGGACTCAACCAGATACTTTGCACTGGTGTTTATTGCAGCATTATTCACAATAGATGAAAGGTAGAAAGAACCTAAGTGTCCATAATGAATGGATTAACAAAATGTGGTATATCCATACAATGGAATACTCTTCAACCATAACAAGGAAAGAAATTTTGATACATGCTACAACATGAATGAACCTTGAAAACATTATGCTAAGTGAAGTAATTCAGACACAAAACGACAAATATTAACCTTGCACTTACATGAATTTTTTTGAACAGGCCAATACATTGAGACAAGAGTTTAGCAGTGGTTACCAGGGGATGGAGGTGGGGAAATGTGGAGTTATTATGAAAGGGGTGTTGATTTTCTGTTTAGGGAAATGAAAATCATTTGGAAATTGATAGTGGTGATGGTTTCACAAAATGGTGGATGTAATTAATATCACTGAATTGTACACTTAAAAATGGTTAAAATGGCCAATGATTTCTTATATACATTTTTCCATAATAAAATTTTCAAAAAACTACACAGAGATAGCAATATTCACCTGATAATGGCAAAGATCAAAAGCTTTTGCCACACACTGGGTTGATGAAGCTGGGGGGAAACACACTTTCATCCTTGCTGGTGGGAGTGTAAACTTGATCAGCCTCAGTGGAGAATAATTTGGCCCTATCTCTCAAAATTAGAAAGAACATGTCATCCAGCCACTTTGCTTTTAGGAATTTATCCCACAGTCATACACACACACTTCTAAAAGTAGATACAAGTAGATAAAATATATAAGATTATTCATGGTGTTTGTTTTTTTTCTTAGTAGAAAAACTTGATGTCATCATTTTCCATTAGTAGAAGATGTACACAGAACTAGAGTCCATCCATGCAGAGGAATACTGCAAATTCAGAGGTTAGAATGAGGACAGTCTTTACTACTGACATCAAATGACCTTTTGGACATGTTAGGTGGACAAACCAAACACAGAGCAGCATGCGTGGAACACTGGTCCCTTCTGGAGAGGGGAACAGGCCATCTGGGGATAGACTCTACTGGGCATTTTTAATTTTTCCATGAGAACATATTTCTCTCCAAAATTACTTTAAAACAATGACAGGAAATTAAAAAATGAGGCTAGGGAATTAATCAGAAGGTGGTTGATAAGGGGCCTGAAAGGCCAGTTCTGCGGTGTGAATTTGGTGCTGCTGAGGGGGTTGTGGAGAAATCTGAGCCACGTGAGGGCAAGAGGAGCTCATAGCAGACAAGGTGCTGAGGATGGAGAGAGACCTCTGGGTCCACCTCTGTTCACCAGGGTGAGTCCAGGACGAGGTGGAGGACCCTGGCCCGACTCCTGCTCCCGACAGCCGCAGGGAGGAGAGGTGCTTCCTACCTGTGCCATTTCCTCGGGAGACAGTTATAGTCAAGTTCCAGGGGGAGTCTGGGAAAGAAACACATGGCTGATCCACATCAGCGGCAAGTGCTTGGTGGTCACTGGCCCTCGATGCAAAGGAGATGCAGAAATGGTGAAGAAGTGGTGGCTGGTGTCCCCCTGAACCCTACCCAGCCCAGATTCCAGAACTCAGCACCCAGTGTCCAAGGCCCTGACCCCCTCCAATGGCTGCTACCCTCAGGACACCCCATCAGGGACCTGAGCGTCCTGGCTCAGAACTCACAGGACACGTTGAGTTGGATGGACTTCTTCATGATCACACCAGCTCCTGAGAACTTCACCTGACAAGTGAGGCTGGTGCCATGGTCCTGGGGCCATGGGGTGAGGGTGAGCACCGAGGAGTGGAGGTGGGGGCATCGCCTATCCAGGAGAAGGTGGGGGGTGTCCTCTGATCACAGGCCCAGGACACAGTGAAGGTCATGTTCATGGGGTGGCCAGACTCTAGGGTACCTTGGATCTGGACATTGGGGGTCTGGGTCAGAGCTGTTGGGAGAGGGGGAGACACAGAATCAAGAGGGAAGGATTCCAAGGTGTGTCCCCGAGGGAAGCCTCAAGCTCTAATCCAGCTCCTCCCTTAAGCTCCATAGGTGTTACCCCCAGCCCCCTCCCAGCATGAGGAAAAGGGGGGTCCCATCCCAGCCCTGCCCTTGGCCCTGTGACCCTCCCCTGTAACTTCTCCTGGAGCCTGTTCCTTACGTGTCACATGCACAGAGAACTGGTTAGATGAGTAAAAATATTTCACAGTATTTCCTCTCTCCACCAGGGAGCAGTCGTTGGTCCTGGGGTCTCCAAAGAGGTGGAATCGACCCTTGGTTTCCTCCTGCACTTTTCAACGTGGGTTATTTGTGGCGACTGGAGCATCCTTGTTAACATTGGCCCCTTTCTGGAACCAGTAGCCATAAGCAGGTGTAGAGTCAGTGCAGCCATGCTGGGGGTAGGAGAAGAAGCAGGACACAAGCACACACAGACCCTCCTGCACTGTCACAGGCCCCTTCACTTTCAGCCAGAATCTCGAATCCTGAGACAGGGACCCTGTAGTACACAAGGATCAGCTGCAGCTCCAGCCCAAGCCACCACTGCCCTTTCCCCTCAGGCACTCACCTGCCCATAGCAGGGTCAGCAGCAGCAGTAGCTTGTCTGGGTTGGAGCTGTCAGGTTCCCCCAGGGAAAGTTTTTCTTAGAGTTCTCTTGGGGAACTAGATCTGCAAGTGAAAGCCCCAACAGGAAGATGGGGATGGAGTAAGAACAGTGACCGATGACCATTTTCGAAGAAGGAACCTCAGACCCAGACACTGTCAGGGCTGATTAGCCCTTGGAGACCAGCCATCACCCCTCCAACTTCTACCTGAGGAAACTTAAGCTCAGAGAGGGTGAGAGACGTACCCAGATTCACATCCAATGTAGGGCACGACCCACATCTCCTGTCTCCCTTTGATGCCCTTCCCTTTGGATGTCATGCCGTCGTGCCTGCAATGTGAAAATGGGTCCCATCTGGCCCAGCCTCACTGAGTCGTGGGCTTTAGGGGTTTGTGGAGGTCAGTCCTGCTGGGGTGGGACCTAGGAGAGGCTTGGGAATTGAGATCAGATGCTGTCCTCTAGGAGTCACTGTCCGGTGGGGAGTTAATACGTCTTCTGGCATCTGTGGGTCCCCCTGACAAGAGCTATGATGGAGGACCCACAGAGGGGGTGGGATCACTCCTTCCAGGTTGGAGTTTTCATTCTCAGGAGAACTGGGCAGAGGGGACACTGCTTGGATTCTGGGGCCATGGAGGTGGGGATTCTTGCCAAGGACATAGAGGAGCGCCCAGCTCATAGGAAGCCCTAACAACTGAGACTATAATTGTCTATATAAGGGATGTGGTAGGGAAGAAAGTGGATAAGGGAAGGGGCATATTTGGGAAGGGATGAATGTGTGTGCCTTCTTCTCAGCAGTCTGGGCACCAGGACTGACCTCTTCTCCACTGGCCAAGCCACACTTTTCTTTGTTAGTCTAGGACAGGGGTTGTCAAATATTTTCAACTCTGTACTTTTAGCATGAAAGCAGCCATAGACAATACACAGATGAATGAGTGTGGCTGTATTCCAATAATAACTGTATTTTGCAAATCCATCTCTTTATATTTTTATTTTAAAAAGAAAAGAAAAAGGGACCAACCAACCCAAAACAAAAACAAACAAAAAGGCTGCCACTTGGCTCCTTGTCCAGGCAGCTCCGCATAGCAGGTTAATAAGAAGTCAGTTTCTTCATACTATTTTTGTTGTGGCTGTGCTTTGTTTAAACACATCTCTGGGTGTGGAAGCCTCTAATACGCAGCAGAGTAAGAAGAAAACAATAAATGAATGAGAGTTCCAATTTATCCACATCCTCGCAAACACTTGTTATTTTCCATTTTTCTGAAAATAGCCTTCCTAAATGGTGTCAGGAGTCCCTGGGTGGTCCAAACATTTGAGCATTTGACTACTAGCTGAAAGGCTGGCAGTTCAAAGCTACCCAGAGGCACCTTGGAGGACAGGGAGGGCGATCTGCTTCTGAAACGTCACAGCTTGAACAGTTCTACTCTGCAATACATGGGGTTGCCATGATTCAGAATTGACTCCATGGCAGCTAACAACAACAGTTGGGTATGAAGGGGTATCTCACTGTGGTGTTGATTTGCATTTCTCTAATGACTAATGGTGTTGAGCATTCCTTCATGTCCTTTTAGCCATTTGTATAGCTCCTTTGGAGAAATGTCTAGTCAAGTCCTTTGCCCATTTTTCAATTGGGTTGTTTGTCTTTTCTTATTGAGTTGTAGGAGTTCCTTATATATTCTGGATATTAAACCTTAATCAGATATATGGTTCCCAAATATTTTATCCTATTCTGTAGGGTAGGTTGTCTCTTCACTTCTTGATAAAGTCTTTGGATGCACAAAAGTTTTTAATTTTGATAAAGTCTAATTTATCTCTTTTGTTGTTCTTGCTTTTGGTGTCATATCACAGTATCCATTGTTAAAAATAGATCCAGAAGCATTTGTCTTATGTTTCTTGAAGCCCTGGCCTCACTCTGGCCTATTCTTAACAGAGCAGCTATGGGGATCCTTCTAAAATGAAAGTGCAATCATGTCTCCCCTCACCTCAAAGGCATCTAGATTCTTCCATTGCTCTGCAAGATCCACCATGGTCTGCACCATCCTCCCAGTTGCTCCAACCTCCTTGGCCTCCCTCTGCTTCAAACACTGGCTTCCATGTTGTTTCCATAGCACACCAGGCAGTCTTCTACTTCAAAGCGATTCAGCTCACAGATCCCTCTTTTCCCTCTTCCTGGGATCCTTTGCTCTGAGAAACAAGGAGCCTGTTTCCTCATCGCTCTCAAGTCTTTGCTCCAATGTCACCTCCTCACCATCTCAAATGTGGAAAACTACCCCCACTATGTCTTAGGCTACTTTTCCTGTGTCTTAGGCTGAGTTCTCTAGAGAAGCAAACACAGTAAGGTGTATACATACATATATAACCAAAATCAAACCCCTTGCTGTCAAGTTGATTCCAACTCATAGTGACCCTATAGGACAGAGTAGAACTGCCCCGCAGGGTTTCCAAGGAGCACCTGGTGGATTTGAACTGCCAACCTTTTGGTTAGCAGCTGTAACTCTTAACCACTACGCCACCAGGATTTCCAAATGTATATAGAGATCTATATCAAGGAAATGGCTCACACGGTTGTAGAAGCTGGAAAACCCCAAGTCCATGGGTCAGGCTGGAGGCTTATCCTGACTCACATAGTTTCAGGGGCTGGCAAAACCACGATCAGCAGGTCAGCCTGCAAGCCTTTGGCTCACAGGTTGTGGAGAAAGACAAATCCCAAGATAGGCAGGCAAGATGGCAAGTACCCTGCTAGTTCAAGTCCCAAGAACTGAAGGTCATATGAACAAGAGCCAGCTACAGAATCCAGAGCAAGCCAAAGACCACGAGCCTTGCCAGAAAGTCCACCTATATTGGATGCAGGCCACACCCCTAAGGAAACTCCCTTTCAACTGATTGGCTACTCACAGCAGATCCCATCATGGAAGTGATCACGTTATAATCAGATCTCATCATGGATGTGATTACATCATTATATGACTATCAAACTACATCAAAACTGCCAAACCACTGAGAGTCATGACCCAGCCAAGCAGACACAGAACTGTAATGATCACAACCTGCCTTAGTTTTCTCCAAACATACATCACCGTCATCACGCCCTAATTTTATTTATTATTTATCTCTTTTTATTTCTATCATTCTTGTCTTCAGAATGACAACTTCTTGAGGACAGAGATTTTTGAGGTTGGGTTCATTGAGGCACCCTAAACCTATGACAATGCCCAGCACATAGTAAGTGTTCAGTAATACTTGGTGAAAGTGTCTATGAATAAAGGACTGAATGTCATTCCTTTGCTCAAAACCATACATGGAATACTACACACACATATACATACACATAGATATATACTCAGCACACATATACAAACACACACATATACACACATAAACACACATACAACTGGGGACATTTAAGACTGAGCCTAAGGGATGAGTGTGGTGCTATATGTTCCCTTATGTGGCTCTTATTTTTTTTTTTGCCCTGGGTTTAAGGAAAAAAACAACTTGGGTGGGGGTTTCCCAAGCTGATTCACATTTTCTGGGTAAGTTGTAAACAAGTTGGCGGTTTGTTAGTTTTGACCAACCTGGCCTAGAAATTGATGAGCCCTCAGTTGATTGACATTTCCTGGGTAATATAGGATTGATTGGGCTCCAATCCAGCTAGGATTGGTTGGGCTCTGATCCAGCTAGTGAGGCCCTACCTTGAAATTGACAAGAAATTGCCTATGTAAAGGATTGAAACACCAAATATTTTGGAGTCTCTTAATCAGCGTGAGCTGGGAGAGCAGCACATCTTTTAGACATGGGTACTGAGACCTTCCCAGACCCAATATAATAGCTGCTACAGTAAGCTGTAATAGTGATTAAAAGCTGGACCTAGGTAAAGGGCTGAACCCTGTAGAAAGCAGAGCAGTCGGTGGCAACTGGAAGAGATGGTGGTGGGGGCGGCGGCAGCAGCGGGATCTTGCCAGAAGAGCAGAGGTGCCAGTGCAAGGCCAAAAGAAGCCCACAGAGCAGACTCAATGGCAGAGGGCCTGCCTGGAGCACAGGACCCTGCCCCAAGAAGTAAGGGGATACCCCAAACAGGAAATGCCCAAAGAACTTGGGCACCCTGAGCACAGGGGCTGCCCACAGAACTTGGGTGCCTCAAACAAGGGGCTGTCTGCAGAACAGTTCTGCTTCAAGAGCAGTTGTGATGCTGGTCTAGAGCTGGGGCCAGCCTAGGACTGTCATGCTGTTGGCATAGAGTGGGACAAGCCCAGAGCTGTCCTGGAGCTGGCCAGAAGGAGCCAAGAGCTCACTGAAAGGAGCAGCCAACAGCAGAGTCTGCCAGGAGGAGCAACCAGCAACTGGGCCCGCCAGGGGATGTCATAGAGTTTCCTATTTCAAACTATCGCTGATGAGTGAGAAGAAACATCAGCTTTTGGGAAGGGTAAGCAGGTCCTCTTTGAGATATAAGTGAGTCCCTCTTTGAGACATTGAGGCTCCATGCTAAGACTCCCTCCCACACTTTGCCCTTTGCATGTCTTCATCTATATCTTTCCATCCTCTTCTGTTATATTGAAGTTGTTATTGCAGTTATGATGTTTCCATGAGTTTTGTGGACATTGCAACAAATTATCAAACCCAGTAGAGAGAGTGCCATGGGATGGCTGGTGTCAGAAATAATGGGGAAGTTGGAAACAGCTTGATGGTAATTCTTATGATTATGAAGTTATCCATGATGAAGTTATTCCCTTTCAGTTATATCCGCAAGGTTATCTCCTTTTAATAAGTAAGACACGGAAAGGTAGAAATGGGGAGGGAAAGACATTTCAGGAGAAGATCTGCACATGTAAAGTCACAGAGTCTAGAGGGCTTGGTCAGGTTAGGTGTGGTGAGATGTTATGTGATGCAGAGGGAGGGAGGAATCTGACTGGAGAGTCCAGCAGTTGTAGCTCATGTGAAGTCTTGAAATCCAGGCTGTAGCATTTGCACCTCATTCTAGCGTTCAAACTGTGAGAAGCTTGGCAACAGTTGTACCTGGAAGCACAGTCTGGAGACCTGTGTTGGTAGAGTGATGGGAGGCAGGGAAGTGAGGTGGGTCCAGTGATTGAGGGAAGAAATGAGACACAAGAATGACCAAGATCAGGATGGAGAGGAGAAGGGCATCAATATGAGCTGAAGAGGAAGGATGGACAATATTAGTGATTTACTGGATCTGGGGGACGGGAGGGAAGACAGAGTGGAGAACGAGACCCTGGTTTCTGTCCTGGGAGACTGGAGTCAGCTGAGTCATCAGCAAGATAGAACTCAGCATGACTACTGGGTTGGGGAGGAAGATGGGCAGTTA